GGCTGCAGATCCGATGGTGTACCAGTCGCTAGGACTAATTGTTTCCATGAATTTTGGTTTTCTTCATTCTTCTTTGCTCTGGATGAGGAGAGACCCACCGTTGCATCTAGATGGCAGCTTGCTAGCTTTTAAGGAGGTGGAACAATGTTTTTGTGTAGTATGTTATGCCAATTGAGCTTGACATCCCCTGCGACTGTGGTCCCAAACCCACAGGTTTAACTACTCACTCCCTCTGGGTAGCTGGCAGTGGCCAAGAAGTGACTAGAACCTTGCCCCTTGTCAGCTCCACTGTATATCTGGAAATTCTTATAGAACATACAGATACACTTGTAGAAACTTTGTCTGCTAACCCTATACATGGTCTTGGGTACACTCCCTGCTGCATAGACATACCTAATAGTTCAGCCTGTCCACCTATCTCTCCACCATATACCCATGTTTGCCTTCACTGACAATGCAGTACCGTATGTGCAAAAGGGTTCATCTGTGTTGTCTGTACCTCCCATGTACCTCTGTATGTCTTCCTCTTCCTCAATGCCAGCATGTTGATCACTCGCATTTGGTACATTGCCCTTCTCTTCACCCAAATCAATACTTATCTCTACCTATCTAACAGTGTTCCGTCCCCTCCCCTTCCACCCCTGTTAACCAACAAAGAAAATTTCCTTCCATAGATAAACCTTTCCTTGACTTTTACAATAATGGACTAATACAATATTTGTCCTTCTGTGATTGACTTATTTCATTCAGCATAATATCCTCAAAGTTTATTCACATTATGTGTGTTTTGCAGATTCTACGTTACTCTTTAGTGTTGCATAGTATTCCCTTTAGTGTATGTACCATAGTTTGGTTATCCATTCTTCCGTTAATGGGCACCTGGGTTGTTTACATCTTTTGGCTATTGTAAATAGTACTGTGATGAACATGTGTGTGCATATACCTGTTCTTGTCCTGGCTCTCACTTCTTTAGGATCTATATCTAGTAATGAAATTGCTAGGTCAAATGATAATTCTTTTTCCAACTTTTTAACGAATCGCCATACTGCTTTCCACAATTGTACCATTTTACAGTCCCACCAGCAATGTATGAGAGTCCCAATCTCTCCACATCCTCACCAGCATTTGTTATTTTCTGTCTTGTTGAACTTTGCTACTAGTGCTGGGGCAAGATAGTATCTCATTGTTGTTTTGATTTGCATTTCTTAATTGGCTAATGATCGTGAACATTTCTTTATACTGTTTGTTGGCTGCCTGAATATCTTCTTTGGTGAAGTGTCTGTTCATGTCTTTTGCCCATTTCTTAATTGGATTATTCATCTTTTTGTTGTTGAGGTGTTAGAGTTTTCTACAAATTCTAGAGATAAGCCCCTTGTTAGATATGTCATTACCAAATATTTTTTCCCAATCTGTAGGTTCTCTTTTGACTCTTTTGGATAAGTCTTTTGAAGCACATAGAAATTTAATTTTGAGAAGGTCCCATTCATCTAG